TGTATGTCCTGCTCCTTCTTCCTGGTACCATGCCTTCTGCTAATATTTATGCAGACAAATATACAGATAGATTTAACGTGGACCCATGAACAGACAGACAGACAATACACAGGCTCATACATCGATATATAGGTTAAATAACAACAACAAACAATACTGTCTGCCTTGATGCTTATTGGGATACTTGATAACAGTGTGAAAACTTATTGACAACTCGGTATTCGGTAGGTAATGTGCTCAGTCTCACTACCCACCTTTATTACTCAAAACATGTCTTGAGCTATACCAATCTGGGCCCATAGCAATTAAAAACAACCCCTGCCTAAATAGGTGCTTTGAAGAAGAGCAATATGAAAGTAATGGCAGAGATTTTTCAACATAAGATGGCTTTTTTTTTTTTTTAAATAACAAAAGACCTTTACCCGCCACATTTTTATATACAAATCGTCAATCACTCAGTGGGTTGTATGATCAACATCCCACAGACCGTCTTTTTCTTCCCAAGACATCTGGTACCTAATTTAAACTAGGTCGACCTGTGTCATTATAATAGTTAACGGGGGGGGGGGTACGTTGGTGGGACCCCAGTGCTTACCTCTCATTCGTCTGGTAGAGCTCTCGTGCACACGTCAATAATATGAATATGGAAACTATGCATTTAATGCTCAATAGAAAGCATTGGGTAAGTAGGACCCGGTCATTAGATGTAAATGAGGATTGTTGGGTTACACAATTGTTGGTGGTGGTGAAAAAAAAAACGAAGAGAGTTCACGAAAAGAACAGATTGCCCACACCAGAAAGAGAAAGACTACATTCTTTGGTCATGTCGAAGAAAAAGAGAAAACTGGAGTATATCGTGACAGATTGAAAGTTGGAGAGGAAGAGAGGCAGGTGGAGACTGAGAGAGAAGATGCTGGACGATTTGACATCATGGCATGGAAGATCATCTCTGTCAGTGTTGACAGGAAGTACAGGAGATAGAAGGTTGTGTACAGACATGACTACCAACGCCGCACCACATGGACTTTAACAAGAAGAAGAAGACGAAAATAACGACAACGATAATCGTAGTGGTGATGGTGGTAGTGGTGGTGGTGGTGATGATGATGGTGGTTGTTGTCGTGGTGGTGGTTTGGCATTAGTGGTTAATATGGTAGCAATTACAACATTAGTAAGTTACTGAAACAATCTCTACATACCGCACTCAGATGACACTCGGTCAATGAGTAGATATCAATAACAAAGAACATCCAAACATAGGTAGCTCCCAAGCCATACGACAGGGATGTTCCTAGTGCCAAGGATGCGAACACGGGAAAGTAGACGATCCCGTAGATGAACATGGAAACTATGGCAATAAGGGCTAGAAGACAGCAACAATAATAATGTGATAAGCACTGTTTTGAAAAAAAAAAGTACACTTATCCGATGACGGATTTTATTTTTATTTCTTTACTTTTACTTGACACCAAAATTATGTTCCGTTAGCAGCTGGTCTTTTTCTTTCAAGTACGACTCTGTCAAGACCTGAACCCACGATCTTCAGGTCCGCAGGCAAATGTCTAGTCGCTACATCACGCAGGTTCCCAGCGGATATAAGGAAAGTATGATATTAACTACAGACAAAACACATACGATTTTCCGAATAACACACAAACAAATACAAGCACGAACGTGATGTGTAAAATTAATTGTGCACGTTAGAGAAATACGTGTGTGTGTGCAAGAGAAAAAAAATGAGACAAAGTGTGTGTATAAATGTAGGAGAGAGAAAGTGAGTGTGTGTAAGAGAGAGAGAGAGAGAGAGAGAGAGACTGTTTGTACGTGTGTATACGAGAGAGAGAGAGAGAGAGAGAGAGAAAGACTGTTTGTACGTGTGTATATGAGAGAGAGAGAGAGAGAGAGAGAGAGAGAGAGAGAGAGAGAGAGAGAGAGAGAGAGAGTTAAATTGCTTCCTATGTCTATGTTAACCTAAGATAAGCCCTTACGTCCTTCTCAGGACGTAATTTTTTTTTATTTGAACCCCCACTCTGGCTTTTGCCAGGGGCCGCAATATAGGCAGGCCATAAAAATGGCCAAATGTCTGAACGCGGTTTCTGGGACCTCTCCACGGTGATTCTCATCCACATGGTGGCACATTGTGCCGTTCGGGTGTTTATCGCTTGTGTGATGTCCTAGTGGGGTAGAAAGTCACTCACTCATGTTAACCTTAGAAACACTTCACCACTTTTACGACTTTCGGTCAGAAACGAACGATTTCAGCAAACCGTTTACGACATTCTTGTAGGGGGAGGGAAGTGGAGTAGTTTTTCTGTTCTCACTTCCCTCCCCCAAACGAGCCCACGAAACACACACGAGGAACTTAGTGTAAATGTATTGGGACTTACTTCCTAATGATAACGGTCCAGAATACTGAATGGCAAACTCTCCTTTAGCGAGGATCCGATACACCACGAAGCTGGTGGCCCCAAACGCACACGCGTACGAAAGACTATGGGCTCTGGTCAGTGTATCCATGGGGCTGAAATGTAAGTATATAGATATTTGCTGGGCACCTGAAGCCCTGAATCCACGCCATTCGGAGTCAAAAGAATGGACAGATTATGATCAATCAATCAGTTGCCGCCTCCACTATGAAAGTTGACTGCAATGGATCTCCAGCACGCTCTTTTTCTTGTCTTGGTTGTAGATTCTCTGATATTGATTCTTGTCCATCTCCTGATGTTGTACTTCTCCTTGTGTCGTTGTAAACCTTTTTTTTTTTTATCTCTTACCCTTGACCTTTCCCTCCGGAACAAGTTTTAAAAGAATATTATGTCTTTTAGTGTGGTCAAGATATTTCAATCGTCTCATTTTTTCATTTTTTTTATTTCAGTAATTCTTTTTTCTTTCGCAGTATTTCCCAAGGCTTTGTATTTTATTGTTTCTGTTCACATGAAATAAGACCTATTATTCTATACAGCCACATTTCTAGAGACTCAGTTCCATTTTCTAGTTGCCAAATACACATAAAAAACAATTCTTATTGTTAACAAACTATATTTGATGTGTCAAATAATGAAGACGCAAAGAATTCCTTACCCAATTTGTTGCCTGACAGATGTCGCTGTGTCTCGTCAGGAGCATGTTGCAGAATTACCACCGACATTAAAGTAAGTTGCATATCCTTTACAGGACGTTACAGAACCAACCCCATCATTTTTTGACTGTTGTGGTTTCCCTGGGCAAGTTTTTATCCAGTAGTTTGCCATTGCTTTCTGGACAGTCGGCTGTTTGAAACCAACGCAAGGCGCAAGGCCTGCAGCTGGGATAGAACACAGCACCCCGGCATTACAAAGAAACACCGATATACAAATTAGTAAATTATGTATTACGCAAGTTGGCACACCATCTTCGCTGGTCTCGAGGCATTGTGACCGCCACCGCCACGAGTGGTTGAGGTTCCTGGTTTAATCCCCGGTAAGGGCTGGGATTTTTTCACTTGGACCTAGTAATTCCCCCTGGTCTCTGGGTAGTGAGATCGGACGCCCGTGTGCATTGTTGCGTACGTAAAAAAGCCCTTGGCAGTTGGAAATCGAAAAGAGTAGCCTAACGGCGCTGCCGGGCAAAATTTAGAGTTAAAAATCTACCCAAAATATTTCAGGATCCTCGCCGGTGCTACAGAGCCTGTTCACTGTGCTGAGCTTCTTCGGACTGAGACTTGAGTTAGAAGAAGAACGGAGCACTTCTGGGTTACTACCTGTGAGCCATGATGTTGATCCGTTGTTCAAACCTCAAACCCTGCCACCTTTGTTTCCCATGACATTATCTGATAATTCTTTTTAGACGAGTTGGCTAAGGAGACTAAGTTAATTTTGACAACACTCCTACTTGATGGGGATTTGAACCAACGATCTTGGGATCTGCAGTCCAAAATGATGCCTCTGTGCTACCATGACATATAAATAAGGCACAAAGTTGAATCCTTTAAAATGTAATAAAGATATTTATAATCTATTGTAACACTGTACAACCACCCACATAAATCTTTGACTGACTATATGAAAATTGTGATTACATAATGCTTGATTGTTTATTCTAATGTTATCAATTATTTAAAATCGAAGCAGGAATATATTGGTTTACATTTTATAAGATATGAAGCAATGAACACTTTGACTTTAAGTCCTACAAACACGCACATCCCCATACATGTGTGTGTGTGTGTGTGTGTGTGTGTGTGTGTGTTTCCTTAGATGTAATAGGTAATATTGAGACATTGTTTGGTATATGTACCTCACTTCCACTAATTAGTAATTCTCTCATGATTCAGACACAAGTATATAATGCAGTCCTGAAACATGAAGGGAATACCAGTATTTTTTGTAATTTTCAGCAAGATATCCTAATTGTTGTGTGGTGAAAGGCACAATCACTCAGAGCTGCTTCTCTGAGTTTTCTAACTCAGGAACTGAAGATCTCTTCCCGAGCACTGTATGTTGATATTATCAGAATCGACGTCGCTGCACATTTGGAAGTTGGTTATGTCTGCTGTCTTGATCTCAAAGACTGCACATTTGGAAGTTGGTTTTGTCTGCTATCCTGATCTCAAAGACTGCACATTTGGAAGTTGGTTATGTCTGCTATCCTGATCTCAAAGACTGCACATTTGAAAGTTGGTTATGTCTGCTATCTTGATCTCAAAGACTGCACATTTGGAAGTTGGTTATGCCTGCTATCTTGATCTCAAAGACTGCACATTTGGAAGTTGGTTATGTCTGCTATCTTGATCTCAAAGACTGCACATTTGGAAGTTGGTTATGTCTGCTATCTTGATCTCAAAGACTGCACAGATGATTTATTGGGCTTTACATCGAAGTAGGGAAATTGTGTTAAAATAAGAGATACTTTATTACCAGCCTGGTCATCAACATAACCAGTCAAGTCATAATCGACCCGAGGATATCAGTTTTGTCCATGCATTTTCCCGCATGCCAGTAGTCGGCACTTTTATTACCCTTAACACCGCCATACACAAGGATCAATGTAAGGAGCGGTTTACTTACTATATTAGACCAGGCCGTCCTCCAAGTTTAGATCGAAACATCTGCCGTCGGGTAATGCTGACTCCAAACAGACAGCACATTAAAATCTGTGGGGAAATGCAAACATGGTTGAGGGATATTATACGCGTACAATGCTTTTGATAGGGCTGGGTTCAATGAAACTGAATATAACGGAGATGGATACAACGGAACTGGATATTATGAAGCTGGATATTATAGGGCTAGATCAGTATGGTTATAAGAGAGGTAGGATCAATATGGTTATAAGAGATATTAATACTGAAGACATGGGTGAGGATGAGTTGAATCTGTGGGTATGTAAAGGTTGAATGTGAAAGACCACGATTTTAAATATAACATTGCTGAAGATACACATCGAATGATTTGTAACATTGTAATGTTTCTTTCTAAGCCTGGGAAAGCCACAGTGGTTTAGCAGCTAGAAGTTCGCTTGTTTGCTCAAATGTTTTGAGTTCAAATTTGTAAAGAGGTGAATTTAATTTTTTAAAGAAAAATTAACTTTAGCTCCCAAGTTGACCCAGTCTAAAATTGAAACTAGGACCTGGGAAGTAAACGCGACGGATACTGGAATATAAAAATACATGTGGACCATGAAATGCCCCAACGGGTCAAAAAGAGTGAAAAGAGTCTGTTGCTTTTAGTTTTTTGCCATGCCTTTCTCTGAGTGTCTTGTTTAACATAGTGTAGCCTCCAAAGTTGACCACCTCGCTATGTTGACCAGCCTGCAGGTTCCGGGATCCCTGTTTGAAGTTATCTTTATACGCCGGATTGACGTTTCACCTGCAAGAGACTTAACAATGATCTCACGCGAGAAGTCTGAATCACTGCCCAATCAAATCAATTGCCCGTCATTTCGACAACAATCGTCGGAAGAATTACAAGATAAACCATTTTTATTACATAACACCGATACAAAGACAACATTATCATTGTTCATTTAAAGATAATCTTCATCGCACATAAGACATGATCATAAGCGCTCTCTCTCTCTCTCTCTCTCTCTCTCTCTCTCTCTCTCTCTCTCTCTCTCTCTCTCTCTCTCTCTCTCTCTGCAGAACCTCTCGCTGCCTGCCGAGAGGGTCACACAGAGCACGGCCTCTGTAGCTCGGGTGACAATACGGGGATTACCGTAAAAATTGCATTTATGAACAAAACGACGCCGCCGTGAAATGAACCCATGACCTTCAGAGCGCGAGGCAACCAGCTTGACCACGCCACAGAGACCCCCATACTAAATATTAGTCGTCTTTTACCACATGCTTGTTTGGGGAAAAAAAGGGAGCGGGGCGGCACCGGGGCAGTGGGCGCATCTTCTCCCCCTCCTAAAATTTGACCAAGTAACCACTAGATTTAGGTGCTTTATTAATATCCTACCCTATATGACGTCACAGGACAGTTCAACATTTTAGAGGATGGTAAGACTGGGTTTCCCGGCTTTCTGATGCTTTAAACGACCCCAAAACTCTTAGAAATTGCCCTAACCCCAACTCACCTACGTTCCACTAGAGAGTGCGGCCTAGGTCCCACGACTGCAGGCAACCTAGGTCCTACGACTGCATGCAGCTTATCTACCACCCCCCTGAAATATTAGACTGTCCCGTGACCTGTGGATTTCCCCTGTTTGGGGTGGTGTATTATTTAAGCCCGAGATTTTCTTTCAGTTTTGATGTGTCATTACTTATACATTTTGATCCCACGTCAGAAAAATCCCTACTGAATCGGCTACGCTGACAATACTTACAGATGGGATCAGTGAATACTGGTACAGAAGATAGTTGTCGATTTTCTCCACGCATGGTTGTCTAGAGAAGATTCAAGATAGCATGTTTACAATAAATGGTATTGAGTCTCTGGAGATGTGGATATATAGAAAATATGTCGCATTTCATGGACACAAACACAATCAGAGACAAGGGTAGAAAACTAGCAATGAGAAATAGGCTGCTAAAGAAAAGAAAAAAAAAAAGACAGAAATGAAATGTTTCGGCCATAATTCTTCTTCTTCTTCTTCTTCTTCAAGTCCATGCCATGTGGCGTTGGTAGTCATGTCTATCCACAGCCTTCTGTCTCGTGTACTTTCAGTCAGCTCTGACACAGATATCCTCTATGCCATGATGTCAAACTGTCCAGCATCTTTCCTCTCAATCACCCTCTGCCTCTCCTTCCCTCTAACTTTCCTACCTCCACGATGTACTTCAGTTTTCTGCTTCTCATCCCATGACCAAGGAATGTAGATTGTCTCTTTCTGATGTGGGCAGCCATACTAACAGACACAAATCTCTTACAAAAACCACACTGGATGGGAAAGTTGAAGGCAGTTTGGAGGGCATCATTGAGAGACAGCACAGGGTCTACAGTTGTAGCTATAAGTGTATGTTCTATTCTCCAGATATCTAGAGCTGACTGACTGACTGACTTTCTACCCCACCAGGACGTAACACAAGTGATAAACACCCGATGATACAATGTGCCACCACGCGGGTGAGGATCACCGTGGAGAGGTCCCAGAAACCGCGTTCAGCCTTTAGGCCATATTTACGGCCAGGCTATATTGCGGCCCCCTGGCAAAAGCCAGAGTAGGGCTTCAAAAACGAAAAAATGTCATCCTAAAAAGGACGAGAAGTAGTTATTATTATCTGGAGCTGGTTGTGAGTGACAGACAAACGGCAATTTGAAAGAGTTTACAAAAAGGGGAGAAGACACACCGTGTTGGAGATCCCGTACAGCCAGCATTTACTGCCAAAGCAGTGCCCGATTCATTTACATTGACAGTGGTAACATCATTAGCGAAACAGACATTCGTCGCTCTTTGCGTCGGTGTGTGTAATGTGTGTGTTACAAGCGAGCTTTATAATGCTACATTACCAGTTCAGTTTTAGCTGCAGGCGATTCTGCAACAGACCGGTTTGCGGTGATGTCGACAATGGTATGGAATGTCGACAGTTTAGTCAGCAATGGCAAACTAATGAGCGGAAAACAGCTACAACAAAACAAAAACAAAACACTTAAAAAAAAACACACACACATTGGGATTGGTTCTGCAACTTTCTGTAAAGAATATGCGACGTAAAATTAGTATAAATCTGCGGAGACTGACAATGGGTAGGTTGGCTGTGAATTCTCTAAACGACTGTCTTCCATCTAAACTCTGTTAGTAAAGAAATGTGTGGCGTATTCTGGGCTGCTCCGCATTAGTCCCACCCAATAATGTATTTCCCTGACTATTCAAATTTGGTCAGATTATTCTGCATAATTCTTGAACCCCAGTAACTACCGCCCTAGGGACATGTAGTTCTAGAGACATGTAGTCCTAGGGACATGTGGTTCTAGGGACATATAGTCCTAGGGACATGTAGTTCTAGGAATATGTGGTCCTAGGGACATGTAGTCCTAGGGATATGTGGTCCTAGGGACATATAGTCCTAGGGATATGTAGTTCTAGGGACATGTAGTCCTAGGGACATGTAGTTCTAGGGACATGTAGTCCTAGGGACATGTAGTCCTAGGGACATGTGGTCCTAGGGACATGTAGTTCTAGGGACATGTAGTCCTAGGGACATGTAGTCCTAGGGACATGTGGTCCTAGGGACATATAGTCCTAGGGACATGTAGTTCTAGGGACATGTTGTCCTAGGGACATGTAGTCCTAGGGACATATAGTCCTAGGGACATGTGGTCCTAGGGACATGTAGTCCTAGGGACATGTAGTTCTAGGGACATGTAGTTCTAGGGACATGTAGTTCTAGGGACATGTAGTCCTAGGGACATGTGGTCCTAGGGACATATAGTCCTAGGGACATGTAGTCCTAGGGACATATAGTCCTAGGGACATGTAGTTCTAGGGACATGTAGTCCTAGGGATATGTAGTCCTAGGGACATGTGGTCCTCGGGACATGTAGTCCTAGGGACATGTGGTCCTAGGGACATGTAGTCCTAGGGACATGTAGTCCTAGGGACATGTGGTCCTCGGGACATGTAGTCCTAGGGACATGTGGTCCTAGGGACATGTAGTCCTAGGGACATGTAGTCCTAGGGACATGTGGTCCTCGGGACATGTAGTCCTAGGGACATGTAGTCCTAGGGACATGTGGTCCTCGGGACATGTAGTCCTAGGGACATGTAGTCCTAGGGACATGTAGTCTTAGGGACATGTTGTCCTCGGGACATGTGGTCCTAGGGACATGTAGTCCTAGGGACATGTGGTCCTAGAGACATGTGGTCCTAGGGACATGTAGTCTAAAGGATAAGCAACTAACCTTCGTGTTAGGGTGTCTTGTATGAGGTACACCGACTAGGCCAAGTTTACCCTGTGAGTTTACTTAACAGTGATGTGACCGGTCAATCATCAGTTAAAACATGTCAATAAAGATCTGAGACAAAAAGAGGTGGAGGCGGAAGTCAATTTTCTGGTAAAATGTAGGGTCCGCTAGAGTCGATGTATGTCCGATCATGTGCATTGTAGGCATGTGGACACTATACCAAGGCTGTCTCAAGCAAGATACTCTCAATGGAAACTACAGTTACTTGGTTTCAAATCATGAACTCTATCTGGAAACTCTACCCAGACTTTTCTCCAACCTGTAAATGGGAATGATAATTACTTGGTTCAAATCGCGTACTCAAGACAGAAACTCTACACTTGGACAGATATTACAGCTACTTGATTCCAAACCGTGCAGTCTGCATGGAAACTATTCTGACTTCTTACCACACCCGGTGCTCTAGCCAGGGAAATCTAACCTCACACGCAGCAGTTCATCTAAAAATATACAGTACATGTTTGTGTTTGACGGAGATGGTACCGTTTCTCTAGTCTATGAAATCATTACAGTCTAATAGTTATAGACGAGAATACTCACACTTCTGATGAGCGATTGGCTTTGTTGGCCAGATCATACAATGCCTGTAAACCAGACAAAAAATTGCTGCCCATTGCCTAAATGCATGCGTCCTAGCGTTCGCTGGTTATTCAGTCAGAGAAATTACTATTGCGTTTTTTCCAAGGCACCTGTAAGGAAACAGAAAGAAATAAAAAGGTATTTCTGAAGCAAATCCCTTCCACTAACAGCTGTAAGGGGGTGGGTATCAGCAAAGTCAAGGACCCTTTTCCAGCTAGTGGCGCATCGGGTAGATACAGCTAGACTTGGGGGACCGTGATGTTTTAGTTAAAAACGAGGCATCCCAATAATATCTATTTTGAGCTGAAAACGTGACTCCACAAGCAGAAACAAGTCAGTTTAACAGCATCCCTTAATTTATTTTTTTTTAGCTCACCAACGTGAAAGGGTTAATTACCCGCTCGACAGCGGTATAAAAAGCCGAAACATTGTCGCAAAATAAGAAACAATATATTCTGTAACTGCACTAAAAAATTCTACGATACAAATTTACATTTACACATTTCATGCATTAAAACGTATATAAAACCATGACATCGCCAGCTATAACTACAGGTTATTTGTTCTACAATCCTGCTAATTCTTAGATTTTTTTAAAACATCAAACAGGGCAATGGCTATGACGGGACAGCATGGACACACCTATAGAACCAGACTGTCACGGTGAAAACGGGACGGATAATCTTTCTATGAATGAATGAATGAGAATCAACCCCACCAGGACATCCACCAAGTGATAAACACCAGGTGACACAAAGTGCCACCATGAGGATAAGAATCACACAGGAAGAGGTCCCAGAAACACCCGACTACAGACTTTAAAATGGGGCTTTAAAATAACGAAAAATTGCGTCCCGCAGTGGGGGGCCATAGATAAGTCTTCCTATTCTAGACACATTTGTATAGATCGATCGGCACTCAATGGCTGATGTGGTGACTCGAAACAAAACCGCCATGTGTTGAATATGTATTCATAATAAACACATAGAGTAAAAGTGTAGGGCAAATAATGTGTAAGCTTTTCCCAACCTGGCCTAATGACCCAGTAAGTTATGAATTATGATTTGGGTTATCTTCACGGCACTCCAGACATGTCCATGGGTGCTCAGATTCCCCTTTTAACATTAACATCAGAATTTTTGATAGTTCCAGTCCTATGTTGGTTGACAAGACTTCTCGTGCGTCCGGTGTGCTTCTCGTGCCTAGCTGTGCCGATCTTTACTCCACATTATTGCACCCTTAGCAAAGATGTGGATGTGCTTCTCCCAAAATCCTCCGAACGTCCTACCTCTCTAACGGCATTAACAATGTCTGGCATGATCCATGGGCCAGTCCTCTGTAACTAAGGCAGAGCTGGCTAATCTGGAACAAAGATAAAGGTAACTCCACGTACAGTGGACTTTTGCAATGAATCGATCCACTGTCCGGTAAAAAGGCAGCCTCGACCCACCGGATCATACTAATGGAAACACTCAGCACACACACGTGAGAACAGCCCTGCGTTGCTAGCCACATGAAAGCTCGTGGTACCACCATCACCTATACTTTTATGATGCTAGTAGTCATACAGAAGGCTGCACTGGCCTCTGGGACTGTTCTGCCTGCAGAGCACGCAGTAAATGCCCATGCACTTTTTTGTCCTCGTACAAGGGACCCACCTGTGTAGATCAGTGAGTAGACCCAGTGAGTTTTATCCTTTTCGGAAACTGATCCCTGTGCTTTGAGATTTTTTTTTTTTTTCAGTAACAAGATAAATACTTGGCCCACGCTAACAGACACCGGTTCAAAGAGAACAATCTGCTTGCTTAGCGTTAACTGAGTAACAGGAACACAAAATTTCATTATAACCAGGATAGGTTATCAGAATAATTACCGTGCATCAATGCCCCTGTGAAATAATTTTCAAACAATCTCCATGCTTGTGCTAATTACTGATTTTATATTTTTAGGGGTACACAAAATATTAGTCAAACAGATATAAAAAAAATTCGCCTCTTTAAGAAAACAGCAGCAATTGTGGAATTGCAAATGATGAAATCGCAAGGACATGTGAAATCTAAGGCCACACATAAAGATGAGTCTTGTTCAGTACAGGAGTTTTCGTGATATTTGTTAATGTGTGAGGGCTCGACTGTTGAAATGCACTGTAACAAATTATTTACGTTTCTATCCAGATAACATCTGTTCTACCACTGGTAAAGCTTTATATGAATTGTCCTCCATTCATGTTTCATTACGTCCCGAACGTGCTAGTGCCCGTATTTCAATTGTTCAGAGTTAATATAAGGAACTGCTGACGATTGGTTAAACTATCTTGACGGGAGAGATGTGTTTCTGCCAATATATTTGCTTTCAAAATCAGCGAACGAAAGGTACACAGTGTTATCACTGAACATTTCGCAACGTTTCCTGTTAACATGTCTTTGTCTTATCGGGTTTAGTTTATACACTAGAACAGCGGCTCTCAAACTGTTTTCGTCACGGCCCCCTTGCTGGGCTAAAAAAAAAAAAAAAAAAAACTAAAATTGGCGACACACCTACAGTTGAAGCGGGTTGAATACGTGGGAAAAGAAGAAAAAACAGTGCACATCTGTCTTTAATGCGTGAATGAAACTGTTTGGACTAGACTGCACCTTAACGAATGCAGGCTTATCATCGGTCGAACTTCGAGATAAATACAAGGGCAATTCTTAGCACGTTGTGGTTGGCATTTTATACAATATAGAACATGCTTGTTGGGGGGAGGGGGGGGGGGACACTTCGACAGTGACAAGAGAAGACAACTTAAATTTTAACTTTTAAGTATCTTCATACCTCTTTATCAATTTGAATTCTTAGCCGACTTACCTTGATTATTGTCGCGGCACCCAGTTTGAGAAGCACTGCGCTAGAAGCCTAAAGATAAAACTGAATAACCTGAGGGCCGCGTTAGCGTAGTCGATAAGAGTCTCGCTTTCAAATCCAGCTGCGACTCGCTGCAGCACAGGGCCAGTGTTTAAAACGTGGCGTTTTCTAGGGTTCATCCAGCCTCTAGGAAATGGGTACCAGAGTTGACACTCGGGTTAATGGAGTTACGTACGGACGGCGACACAGGAGGACAATTTCTTATCAGCTGTCCGTACTGGTGGCAGAACACTTATGGTTTATAACCGTGTGCAATGATGCTGGTTCACATCTCCCGACTTTACTTTTATCTTTGCTGTATAGCTTTTGATTTATTAACAGATTTCAGTTCTGAATGATTTCTCAGAATATTATCAATGAGGGTAATAATCACAATTATTATTATAGCATACACCCCCCCCCCCCCCCCCCCCAATTTTCCGCCCTTTAACCTGCGTAATTAGATATTTCTATTTCTTGATTTCATATTGACACTGATTGTTTCGAAGCCCTGTTGTCTTGTCCGTTGAATTTTCCAATCTTAGTTTGTGTTGTATTTAGTACTCTGTTGATAAAGACTTTCTTTCCCCCCAAGCGTTGGTTTGTATTTGTGGGCGTCTTTTCCATTTCATCTGTTGAGCTTTCTAATCGCATTTTACGTTGTATCCTATACACTGAAACAGGTATGAACGGTTTATCCAAAGTCAATCCAAGCCCATCCCCCCTTCCCCACCCACGCGCCCAGTTTGAACAAGGCACCTACAGCCCGCTTGGACCCTCACAGCGCCCACCAGGGAAAGGGGGTGGGCGTGGGGGCTTTGAGAAACACTGCTCTAAGTTATACAGACGCTAAATTTCCTACCGTCCCAACAATGAAGGTTGGCTGCAGCGTACAACTGTTGCCTTGTGAAGTGCGAATCTCTTCCATGTTACGATATTAGCACCATTGTCCGACAATGATGAAAGCAGAATTTGGACCACAGTACTCGAGAATCAGAAAATTGTTAAACGCATTAACTACTGTAGCTGTACTTCCTTTTCTCAAAGTCCATGCCGTGTGGCTTTAGTAGTCATATATATCCCCAACCTTCTGTCTCGTGTACTTTCAATCAACTCTGACACAGATGATCCTCCATGCCATGATGTCAAACTGTCCAGTATCTGTTCTCTTGGTCTCCATTCGCCTCGCTTCCCCTCCAACCTTCCTTCTGTCATGATGTACTCCAGTTTTCTTCTTCTCATCACATGACTAAAGAATATAGATTGTCTCTTTCTGGTGTGGGAAATCGGTTCTCTTCGTAACTCAGTTTCTTTCAAAACACACTCATTACTCTGTCTGTCTGGGGTATTGTCATCATTCGTCTACAGCCGCACTTAAACAGAGCGAATTAATACAGCCAGTAGCCGAGACAGAAGCTAAACAAATACTGAACAAGGAATCCACGTCTCCGTGGCGACCGAGACAGGAGCCAAACAAAGACTGGTCAAGGAATCCATGTCTTCGTGGCAACTGAGACAGGAGGTAAACAAATACTGGTCAAGGAATCCATGTCTTCGTGGCGACCGAGACAGGAGCTGAACAGATACAGGTCAATGAATCCACGTCTCAGTGGCAAAATAGTTTAAGCTGGCTGCCTTACATTCACTGGGGTGCATGTTAGTTTTCTGACTGTGTCATCAGGTTAACCGGACATGTGTTTTACGTAGCCTAGTGTTGTCGCTGGAACTATGCAGTTCGTGCTTTAGGTGTACATCTGCTTTGCGGAGACAGATCAGGGCAAATGGGATCCATCTTGGTGCAGTGAAGTTGATCCTTTCACTCTACTATACAAAATTACACATACTGAACAAGTGAGCTTCAGATAACGATATCACCTTGTCAATTAAAGCAATACAGTCACATCGTTTGCCAGATAAATTGTATGTTGTGTTTTGTCAATGATTATAGACTCTGGCGGAACTTCCCGGACAGTGATCTATTAAAGTCACAAATTAAAGTCGAGAAGATCCATTTCGTTGCACATTCAACAGATTCTTGTCCATCTTTGAAGCGTTTGTGCCAAACTTTAATCTGTACTGCATTCATTGCATCACTTGAATGCCCTCTGAATCTCCGAACAGATTTTGCGGAGGAACGTTAAAGTCAGTGTTG